CCCGCGGACTCACCTCGGCATGGGTAGCCGCCGGGGTCCTACGGGCGCCGCGCCGGGCAGCCCGCGTCCGCCTCGGGGTCCTGCGGGCATCACCGCGGACCGCCCCGCTGGCCGCGCTGCCTCGTGGGACTTGTAGTCCTCTTGGTGCGCGCGGAGCCACCTGGGAGTTGTAGGCCCGCTCTGGGATTGTCCGGAGGAAGCCACGGCAGACTGTTTGGCTCATACTCCTAAAAGTTTCACGTAATTGCAAGTCAGAAAAATACTGAGATAAAAAAGCTGTTTTGCAGTAAAACTTGCTCAAACCTGTTTCGACGCGAGGGGCGGAAAGAAGGCGGGGCAGGAGGTGACCTTACGACCTGGAAGGAAGTTGCAAACGGAGGAAGTGACAGTCTGGCGCGCTAGGTCTCCTGGGAATTGTAGTCCCATCGAACAAGCACAGAGGCTCATGGGAGCTGTAGTCTTTCTGGCAGAAGTTTCCAAGCGAAAAATCAGTTACAAGTCCCAAGAAACAGAGATGTCAATTCCATGACGGCCCCGATTTTTGTTTGCCTTGTGCGCTGATATATTCCGGGAACGGAGCACAAACGCTGGCACACCGTGGGAGATCTGTACGATGTTTAGATGAATGAATGAAAAGAGAATAAAGAAATCGTGTTCGATTTCCGTCCTAAAGGGAGGAGCAGGGGGTTATGGGACTTGTAGTCCAGAACCCGCAGTCTATGCTGGGGTTAGTGGTAAACTTATTTATGTTTGTTATTCACTAAAAACTTATTCGTTGTTTTCCGGACATTCACATTTAATTTATAGGCACCCCGTGTTGTATTCCCTAATCTGCAAACCCTAACTACCCATTGCCTCGGGGCCAGGGGTATGGACGTTTTCTAACTCACACCCCTTAGGCAGATAGGAAGACTGAGAACCGCGGTGAGAGACAGTGGCCCAGGCCCTCCGTGAGTTCACCCAGGCTCCGACGGGGCTTCCGAAGGATTTGGGGCCTTCTGTCCCCGGTGAGCAGTGGTGTTGTGCTGAGTGAGGCCTGGGTTCAAGCCCCAGCCCCTCCCGTCCTGCTCTGTGGCTTTGGGCGAGTTGCGTCACCACTCTGAGCCTTGGCTTCCTCAGCTGCCGAACACGATCAAAAACGGTCACATCCCCTCGGCCCACTGGGGTGTGTAACGGTGCCATGCGACAGTCCGTGGGAACCAGCCGGGCACGCGCTCAGTGGCCCCGAGGAGGGAGAAGGCGGCGGCGCCCAGCGGTGCAGACCCAGCCGGGGGTGCGCCGTCCCTGCTGGGACACGCAGCCTCTGCGAGGCTGGCTCCAGTTCGTCCTACAAGGCCCCTGTGCCCGAGTGATGTTGGGCATTCTCGTCCCCTAGCGTGACCTCCGCAGGGACAGCACCCGGGCCGCGCTGTTTGCCTGGAAGAGAGGCGGGCCCAGCCGTTGGTGAGGGAAGAGCAGTGAGGGAGGGAGCCCCGGGCCCCCCCCGCAGACGAGCCAGCTCTTCCCCCCTGGCAGGGTCTCTCCAGTGAGGTCGGAGGAGGGGAGTGCCCAGCGCGGGGCAGGGCTGAGAACTAAGCAGCCCAGGTGGTGCTCATCACCAAGGCTTACCCCCTCAGTCTGCCCCTTCTCCCGGGCCAGGCGGATCAGGGGAGACACGCAAGGTCCTTGCAGGACCAGCAGATGGCGGAGCAGTTACGTCACTGCACTCCCACGGCCGACTGCAGTTTGAGTCTTGGGCCCGGTGGCTTAAAAATCACACGGGGTGTGTGTGTGCCGTGCATGCCCAAGATCCCGGGAGGAGAAAGGAGAAGGGACCGCGGCGTGACCGTCCGCGTGGGGATGCTTTCTCACTGTCCCTCTCACTCTGTCTCTCTCTCAAGCAAATGCATGCACCCTAAGGAAAAACTTCTTTTAAAAAAAGGGACAGGGGCCGAGGGGCCAGCCGTCACCTGTCAGGAGAGGCCGGCTCTGATGAGGCTATGCCTGCTCCAGCTCCTTGCTCGAGCCTTGCGTTTCCTGTCTCTGAAACGAAAAGTCTTGGTTCAAGTCCTGGCCACGGTGCCTTGAGAAATGTGCTGGGCACGTGTGTGTGTGCCCCAAACCCCGGCAGGCTGGAGATATATAGAAGAAGGAATTGCAGGACCAGCAGATAGTGTAATGACTGTGTCGCTGGACTCCCACGTAGTCGACCGCGGTTCGAGTCCCGGACCCGGTGGCTTAAACTCACGTGGGGCGCATGTGCGTGTGTGCCCAAGATCCCGAGAGGAGAATGGAGGAGAAGGGATTGCGGCGTGGCCACCCCCCCTGGGGGGTGATTTCTTGCTTTCTGTCTCTGTCTCTCTGTCTTTCTGGGGAGCACATGCGCCCTATAGCAAAAACCTCTCCCCCAAAAAAGGAGGGATTGCCGTGTGACCACACCCCAGTGGGGGGCACTGTCTCCTCGCTCTGTCTCTCTCTGGAGAGCGCATGTACCCCTGACTATTAAAACGAAGACGGGGCATGTGGACAGAGACTCCAGGGAGAAGAGGCACCGAGAAGGCCCCGGGAGGGCAGAGGTGGACACCGGGGGCAGTCAGTGATGCCACCCTGCGAGGCTGACCCACGTGGGAAGGTTCCTGGTTCACAGCCAGCGCCCGCCCTGAGCGGCCGGACAGCTGCAGTCCCAGCTGGTGTGGGTCGCCGATCAGGACCCTGCTGGGTTGCTGTCTCTCTGTCTCTGTATCTCTCGATCTGTCTCACTCATGGAATAAATAACTCACCTTTAACAGAGAGAGAGAGACCAGAAGCGCAGCCCCCCCGCCAGCAGCCCTGCCCTCGCGGCCGCGGAGGGGACCCCTCGCCCTCGGCCTGCTGGCCCCCGAGCTGCACAGGATACGTGCCTGGTGTTTCAGCCGCCCGGCCCGCGAGGCTTCGCGGTGACCGCCCTGGGGAAGCAGAGCCTGGAGGCGCTGGGCTTTTCGTTGGGTTTTATTTTAATGCATCGCAACAGTCAGCGTGGCTAGTTGCCACATCAGACGCTCGCCACTCCTCGCTCCGGCGTCCCCCACCCTGCAGCGTTACACGGCGGCTCTGGCAGGCAGGAAGACCATCAGGCCGCCAGGTCGTGGAGGCTGGAGGGGGCACTTCCTGCAGACAGGCGTCAGGCTGGAGGGTTCCCTGCACCACGCACGGTCAGGAGCCCGGGGCTCTTTAAGTGTAAACCAATTCAAATGAAACCCTCTGCATGTGAAGTTCAGTCCAGTTCTTCGGGTGCGGAGCTGCAGGCCCCAGGGCAGGCCTGTCCTCCCACGCCCTGGCCAGCCCCCGCAGAAGGCTCCCACCCTCACTGGCCGGCTTATCTGCAGGCTGTCTCCAGAGCTAGTGCCAACAGGTACCGACGGCCCCGCACTGTGGTCCCGCGGCGGACCCATGCTACAGATGGGGAAGGGAGAGTCTGTTAGTGCGAGAGGCTGCTGGCCCCGCGCGGGTCCCTAACACACACAGAGGTCACAGGGGGAAGGAGCCCCGCCAGGGGCCCTGCCCCCCCCAAAGGGGAAGTGAACTGGAAGAGGAGGTGTCAACTGTCACCCGGCCCCTGCCTGGCAGCCACGTAACGGCCCGCCAAGCACAAACCCATGGGCTGAGGGTGTCTACACACACATACAGCTTGCACTCACAACAGCCCCCCAAAGCGCACACCCTCGCCGTCCCCTCCAGCCAAGGCTGAGTGCCACCTTGCAGGCTGCTGGCCACCGACAGCCGGGCAGCCCCCTCACAGCGGACAGGGGAGTAGGAGGGTGGCCGTGGCCTCTCCTACCATGTGAGCTCTGGCATGGCGGGGAATCGGCCCCACAGCCCGCCCCTCGCAGCCGGGGGCCCACCGAGGCCCAGAGAGCGGCTTGAACTGCCCCGAGTTGCCTAGGAACACGGACGAGGGAACCGATGCGGGCCACTGCGGTGCGCTCTGCTGTCCTGCGGAGGTGACCACAGGAAAGTCACTCGGCCTCAGCCCCCCGAGGCTGCAGCCCCCCGAGGCTGCAGGGTGCGCCCGGGGCCCCGCAGCCGCCCAGCCGCCGGCATCCCCGAGGGCGGTGTGTGTGCACCCTCCCGCGGTCACACGCTCCTCATGCTGGAGATGCTGGACAGGCGGCCCCGCAGGGGGGAACGGGGGG